TAATAAGTAAAGACCTATGAATAGAATTTATAAAGTTGAATTTTTCTAAGTTAAATCGAATTTTAGCCCTAGCCCTAAGTTAAATCGAACTCTAATCGCTTGCTATACGTTTTTAATCTACTTTTATTACTATAAAATTAATTTAATCTATATAATATATAGATATATATATACGAAGAGAGGCGCGCTAAGACTTAATTAGAAAGGTATATTAAGTATAAAGAATTAATCCGTAATAATTGCCTATAAAAAATAGAGAAAGACTATATTCTTATAATAAGAAGTATCGAAATATCGAAAAGAAATAAAGATAACGTATTAATTAGTGGTGTGAATTTCATAATATCTTCTATCGTAGTAAAATCTTTCGAATAATAAAATAGCTATAGATATCGAACGATTTCAATTCGTTTAAATATATATCGTTCGATATTTCTTCTATAGAGGTTTAATTAACTATAATAGTAGATTCTTCTCTTATAACGTTATTATAGTAATATACTATATTAATATAATAAGAATAATAGACTAAGTTATAGTAGTATTCTTCGCTTACTAAGTAATAATTTAATATGAAATCGTAGAGAGTATATAACGTGGGATCTTAAAGAGCTAAGTCGTATTCTTAGTGCTAAGAGTCTTATTACCGCTTAATTTCTCCGTAATATTCTTTATAGTATTCTTTGTAGTATTCTTCGCATTTATCTATTATAGTTTCTTCTCTTACTCTTTAATATAGTAAAAATAATAGACTAAGTTATAGTAATATTCTTCGCTTACTAAATAATAATTTAATATAGAACCGTAGAAAGTATATAACGTAAGATCTTGAAGAGCTAAGTCGTATTCTTAGTATTAGAGATCTTATTACCGCTTAATTTCTCTATAGTATTCTCTATAGTATTCTCTATAATATTCTTCGTATTTATTTATTATAGTTTCTTCTCTTACTTTTTAATATAGTAAGAATAATAGACTAAGTTATAATAATATTCTTCGCTTACTAAGTAATAATTTAATATAGAATCGTGAAGAGTATATAACGTGAGATCTTGAAGAGCTAAGCCGTATTCTTAACGATAATAGTCTTATTACCGCTTAGTTTCTCTATAGTATTCTCCGTAGTATTCTCTATAGTATTCTTCGCATTTATTTATTATAGTTTCTTCTTTTACTTCTTCTCTTATAGAGTATTAGACTAAGTAGCTAGCTAAATAACTAATTAAGTAAATAACTAAGTAACTAGCTAACGATCTAACTAAGTAAATTATTAAGCTAATAGAATAAATAGTATTAATTAAGTGGTTACTCGAGTATCACTAGCTTAAAAGGAGTATATAGGGAATAACGATGGCTATAAATTCGTTTAAGCTCTTTTTAAGAGTCTTTTAACGCGTTTATAAGTAGTAGTAGATAGCTATTAGATTATAGCCTCGATTGCTAGTAATAGCTAGCTTAAGAGCGTTAGTAGAGACTTTAAGAGGCGAGTAAAAAGAGTATATATGTCTGAAATATTTAGTAATATTTTCGCGAGGGGTATTAAGAACGATTATATTTATATTACTAAAATTAATAGAATTAGTAAAGTGATAAAAGAATAATAATTACATAAATAGATAAAAGAATTATTATTCGATCCCGAACGCGTTTAATATAACTACGATATTTAAATATTAATTTAATTTATTAATAGTAGACTAAACTTCATTATTTTTATAGCGTTAGAAAGCGTATATTAAGCTCTATAATTTATTAAATTATAAAGAAATAGTATCTATAGAGAGCTAATTATTTTAGAGTATAAAACTTCTATATATAAATTTTTAATAAGAGAGCTTAAAAGGGCTAGCGGGCTAACTTAGTTAGTCTAGTTAAAAGGCGTAATAATCTTAAATTAATAATTAACTATATATATAAATTTAAGATTTTCTAATTTAGCCCTATCTTATTCTTTTATATATACTAATAAATTTATAATAATCTTATATATAATCAATTTTTTTAAATTTAATAGAAAAGATTATAATATTTTATTTAAACTTCGCTTTAAGATATTAATACTAGCTATTTTACTTATCTTAATTATTAATATTATAAAAATTCGAGATATCAAAATATTATTTATTTAATTCTATATTCTTTACGCGATTTATAATAGAAATATAGCGTAAGTTTTAATAGATACTACTAACAAAAATACTCGACTAATAAAATATAATCTCTATATCTTTCTTATCGAAGTTTTTTAAATTAGCTAATATATAAGATTATTATTTCTTTAACTATTACTCTTTATATTTTAAGTCTTACTTAAATTTCTTATTTTCTTTAATAAGTTTCATAATATTAATATAATATCTATTACGTAAATCTCGAAGTCTATTATTAATTTCTCGCTTATAAAATAATTAATTATTATTATTATTTAGCTGGGTAGTAATTATTAATATCTTTATCTTAGCTTAAGCGATATTATAATTAAATTCTTTATTTTATTATTAAAATATTTTAATATTACGATTAATAGTTTAAAAGCTTTCTATTAATATTTTTAATCTATTATATTAAATATTAGAAGTTTTAATAGCGCTTTTTATAAAATTTTATAAATTAGAGATAAAGATAAAGATTATAATTAACTCTTCTTCGATAATATTTATAAATTATACTTTAATATAACTTAAATTAAATTCGATAATATATTTTTTGAGAGAGATAGAATACTTTTTTTTTACGTTATATAAACGATCTAGCTTTATTAATATTTAAGATCTTTTTATCGAAGTTCTTAAATTCTTTTAAATAATAATATATTTATAACTTACTTATAACGATTTAACTTTAAATATTATTTAAATTTAGAGTTAAGTAATATATAATTAATATTAAGCTAGTAAATATATAAAAAAGATTTAATCTAAGATTTTTTTTTTAATATATTAAAGATATCTATTTTTTTTAAATTCTTATTTAATTTAGCTAGATTAATCTTTATATAAATAAAAGACTTTTTTTTAAATAATTTTTTAAATAATAAGCTTCTTTAGCTATAGCTATTAACTTCTTAATAATATACTTTCTTCTTAATTATATATTTAATATAATTAATAAATAAGTTATTATCGCTTTAGAAGAAAGATAGATAGTATTATATTAAAGACTTAAAAAAAAAAAAAATAATAATTTTTTTTTTATATAAAAAAAAAATTTTTTTTATTTAAAATAATTTTAAATTTTTTTTTTTTTTTTAAAAAAAAAAAATAAATTTTTTTTATTTTTTTTTTTTTTTTTTTTTTTTTTTTTTTTTTTTTTTTTTTTTTTTTTTTTTTTTTTTTTTTTATAAAAAAAAAAAAAAAAAAAAAAAAAAAAAAAAAAAAAAAAAATTTTTTTTTTTTATAAAAAAAAAAAAATTTTTTTTTTTTTTTTTTAAAATTTTAAAAATTTTTTTTTTTTTTTTTTTTTTTTTTAGAAATTTTAAATTTTTTTATTTTTTTTTTATTATTTTTTTTTTTTTTTTTTTTTTTTTTTTTTTTTTTTTTTTTTTTTTTTTTTTTTTTATTTTTTTTTTTTTTTTTTTTTTTTTTTTTTTTTTTTTTTTTTTTTTTTTTTTTTTTTTTTTTTTTTTTTTTTTTTTTTTTTTTTTTTTTTTTTTTTTTTTTTTTTTTTTTTTTTTTTTTTTTTTTTTTTTTTTTTTTTTTTTTTTTTTTTTTTAATTTTTTTTTTTTTTTTTTTTTTTTTTTTTTTTTTTTTTTTTTTTTTTTTTTTTTTTTTTTTTTTTTTTTTTTTTTTTTTTTTTTTTTTTTTTTTTTTTTTTTTTTTTTTTTTTTTTTATATTTTTTTTTTTATTTTTTTTTTTTTTTTTTTTTTTTTTTTTTATTTTTTTTTTTTTTTATTTTTTTTTTTTTTTTTTTTTTTTTAATTTTTTTTTTTTTTTTTTTTTTTTTTTTTTTTTTTTAAAAATATTTTTTTTTATTTTTTTTTATTTTTTTTTTTTTTTTTAAAAAAATTATTTTTAATTTTTTTTTTTTTTTTAAAAAAAAATAAATAATTATTTTTTTTTAAATTTATTTTTTTTTAAAATTTTTTTATTTTTTTTAAAAAAAAAATATTTTTTTTTTTTTTTTTTTTTTTTTTTGGGGGGGGGGGGTTTTTTGTGTGTGGTGGTCGTGCAGGGGCGCCTGGAGGGTTACCAGACCCCGTTGAAGGCCACTTTCAATGTCAAACTCATGCGCCAACCTCACCGCGATCGAGGATAACGTTGGTTCACTGCGCTTCCCCTTAATTGTGAGCTGCTGCCTGATTTCTCCTTTCCTGAACAATTGTTAATCTACATGCACGTCTCTTTTTCACGCCTACATTGGCGGTTCGTCCAGTCTGCGGGGTCTCGATCCGTGTAGGTACAATTTTTTGTATTTTCACGTCACTACGTCAAGGCTTTGGTTGCATAAGCGTTGAGACCGTTTCAATCCTTACTTGTATCGTCAATTGTTCTCTGGGGATATTCAACTTCAATAAATGATTTCACTCTGGGACTTATTCTCGCTAAAATTGCAGCACTACCTCACCAGATCCCGCTGGATGATACTGGGGTTTGCTCTAGATACAGCATCCGCAGCTGTTCGCACACCTGTATTGCTCCTGTTACAAGGCGGTCACTCGTTAGCATTCCGTTTCATCTACTAGTTGTACCCGACTTCAAGTCTACTTACACAAAGGGACGAGCAAGATAGAGGGTTGGTTATCGGCGTCGGGCCTTTGGCAGCAGGTGTAGTAACAGACTTGATTGAGGGCGTAACAGTCGCTTCCTGAGCACTTAGGTTGTGGGTTCTTAGGGCCGCATTTACCAGATCCGGGATACTGCTCAGAAGCGACGTTGGGAACAATTTTAGTCTTGTGAGCCGCAAAGCATGGCATGTGGCAACTACGTAGTTGGCGGTGACCTCGCCAGTGGATACGTCATCACCAGGAAGAATTGGATCAGATCCACAGTAATTGCAACCATGGCCCCAGTCCAAACAGAAGAAATGGTCAGTAAGCGATCCTTTCACCCCATTTACTCTTTACCCCATCAACGTACTATGAAGGGAGCGGGGTGCTTACGATAAGCCATTCAGCAAATCCAGCACGTCTCCTGCGGTAATATTGTCACCATAGTTTTGCGTGAAGGCGCACAGGTGACCCTGGCATCCGATATGTTGTCCAGGACCGAAGGAGTCGCTAGCTGGTATATTCCCTATTAAATCGATGACACCGCTGAGGGTCCCACCAAGATCGCCTATGGTTCAAAAACCACTACCGCGGCAATTGATGCCGAGGGCGATGACTGAGGACGCACCGCATACGACAGAGAGGAAAGTGCTGGGACGCATTGTGGAGGGTTTTGGACGTGCACTGGATATTGATCGGGTTGTCAAGAAGAGAGAGATGACTTGCTTGTGCCGTGCAGAGGATGAAGACACCAGGTACAATTCTATGATCGCGAGCGATAATATTGAGTAACAACGCGGAGCAGTGACCGGCGTCTTTATGCCTCTCAAGCGTGGCCATGATAAGAATGTCCGGTAGTAAATTGGTTGCATTTACGTCTATCTAACAGAGGATGCATAGATAAGAGGATGGATATACAGGAGGAGGCATATACAGAGGAGGCACAGACACAAGATGTACAGACAGGCCAGGTGCTTCGGCCTCGACTCTGCCTGTCAAGCTCGATCAAGTAATTCGCCGAGCTCGGGAAATCTAAGATCAAAGCCCTTAAGATTGATTCCTAGTAGCGTCTCGGGTGGAGGTCGTCAACAGTGACTCTCCACGCAAATTCCGTGCAGAAATCCTTAACGAATTCATAGCTGGGTAACCCTTAACCGATCGCGGCCTACTCTGAGGAGTGGGGCATCTGCTATGCAGGATGGAAGTTGGCGGAGAGTTGGGAGAGCTGGGATGTTGCACTTCTTCGAGGGACGTGATACGTGTACCCCCCCTTTTGATACATTGACCTCCCTCCCCCACCTTCCGGGTACAGCTTCCGGGTACGATGGGTGTCAGACCCGAATCACTCTAGCTTGCATCTTTAGGGGCACTTCCCGGGTCGAAACGAATATTTACTATCCACAAGCAACTTTGCCGTTTACCCCCGGAGAGCTAGTCTTCTTAAGGTTCAGCGCACCGAAAGAGTGTAGGAGCGAGTGTGTACAGGAGGGGTCTCCCAAAGAGAGGGATGATCCTGTCCCCGAGTGACGCACTCTGTAGGTAACAAGACCACGGCATTTACAGCACTCAAGATTGCGCCCGCCCCAACCCGCCCGGCAGCTGTACCCGGAAGGTTTTGTGTGGGTGGGAGGTCAATGTATCAAAAGGGAGGGGTGCTAGTACACGTATCACGTCCCTTCTTCAATCGCCTCGGCGCTCGGGATAGGTATCAGCTATTAGACTTACTCGTCGATCGAACAAATCTGCATGGTTTTCTCTACTATCCCACATCCTGGCGTGGTTCTCGTTTCAGGAGTGGTAAGACCGTTGCGCAATCAGATTCCGTTCTTGAAGGATCACCACAAGTCAACAGCGAGCAAAGTTACGACGAACCTGCCAGGGTCACAATTCTTACTCGTGAGCAGATGTTCTTGCACGAGAACCCATCTCGCCAGGACAGGGGAATGATTGACGACCAGTGAAACGACGACCAGACCCAAGGCACATGATGAAGACCCATCTCCAAGAAGCGTGCTGCGCGAACAATCCTCCAACCAGTGGTCCGGCGATCGTCCCAAAAGCCCTGGTAACTTGGATGATACTCCCGTACTTGGGTCGTTGTCGAGGAGGGATGATATCGCTGAAAATCACCATGGTGAAGGCGATGATGCCTCCGCCGCCCACGTCTTGGATCGTCCGTCCCGCAAGTAGCTCCGTGAAGCTTTGAGATAAATAACAGATGAGCGTCCCGATCGGGGGGACAAGATTGACCGCGTAAGAAATTCTCGGCGGCCGAAAATATCACAGAGAGCGGCGATGAAGGGCTGGAAGACGACGCATGAGAGAAGGTATGATGTCCCCGCCTAGACTGCATCGGTCGCGCTGCCTTTGATGGCACTGGAGGTTGTCTGCGTTGGTTAGGCAAAGACTCTTCAGATCCACGGGTACTTTAGCTTGCTTACTGGTAGGACCGGAACCAGGACAGTCGCATCCAAAGCAGCTATCAGCGACACCACAATGAGGGAAATCATGATAAGTGCCTCTTGTCGACCAATCTTCCATTCTGGCACCGACTCCTCGGTGATTGCTGTACTCGTATCTTCTGTAATAATATTAGAGGGCTCAATTCTGCTGGGATTCTTTGGGTGACAAAGTCTGCACAATCTGGGTATGGCGAGGACAGTTTGGAACGAGCTCTTCATGTATCTCGGTACATTTGAGATGGAAAGTATCCGATCGGGGGTCTGGGACGCTCTTCAAAGCGTCTTTGAAAATTTTCGGCGGCGGAGAAAAGACTCGGACCTTGACCCGGAGTACGAGTATGCATAGATTGATGGCGTCGTCGACATTGGAAGATTCCATTGCTCTACTTCCGTGGAGCAGTTGATCAAAGATCGGGAAATTGAGAGTGCCAAACGTCTTCAGATCGGGAAGCACGGTCTCCTGAAAACATTTTTCTGGGAAGATTTTTAGCCAGCTATCCTAATTGGTTTCCATGTTGAGATCGACACACGCGCTGTTGGGATGAATTTCAAGGTAAGGAAGGGACTTTTCATATCTCAACGTTCACTGTTCAACAGGGTACTTATATCAACCGGGATCATAAACTCGGACCTGACCGAAGGTGATATCGAAGGCTCTGGGCTTGGCTGCGGAGCTTGTGGTGTCATCCGGCGAGTGGAACCGGATGTCAGAGATCTAAGCCGGGTGATCGAGTCTCAACCACTGCCAGCGGTGCCTTCTCTTCTGCCTTGACGACTTCAGCCTGGCTCTGCGCTAGAATGCCAGATGACATGAGCTTTGAGGACGCTGCAACAACGCCTTGTGTGTATAGTACTGTTATATATTCTTTGCTATAAGTAGGGCAGCTTGAAGCAGATTAGATAAGTAGTAGCGGCGTTGTAACTTCCTGACCGCCGCTAATTCTTAGATTATTCTTTTTCATTCTAAATGCGGTGGGGTTGGTATAGCGGCAATTCAAATATGCCAAATGAAGAACTCCAAGGTAAGTCCACCAACCTGCCTCCCAGTCCCATCAGTATTAATCTTGTCATATCAGATCTTCGTGACAGTGGGGAACCAGGAGAAGAGACAGTATCTCATTGACATTTTCAAAATCCCAAGCCATCGGATCTTCAAGTTTCGAGACACCTCATTTCTACAGGATGTAATGTGTGCAACCGAAGGGAAAGGGATTGACATTGTCCTATGTTCCCTACGCGGCGAGGTACTTCACGCATCATGACAAAGCGTGGGACCCTTTGGCAAAATGATGGAAATCGGCAAGAGAGATCTAATAGGTCATGGACAATTACGGATGGAAAAGCCGCTGTCCTGGAAACTAGACGTTCGAATGAGCATATACAGCAGTCTCGAGGTCTCCGCCTCCCTCGGAACACCAACAGCAGGCAACGAGTCGCTGAAGGCCTTTCTCTCCGCCGTTGCCGCCGACCCCTCAATCCTGGCCGCCAGTTCAGGCCTCGACTTCCTCAGTCACGAGATCGGAGCCTGTCTATGTAGCTCTGTGCAGACGTCCGTCGAGGAATTGAGCGTCACGCGCTCCTTGGTGGCGATGGACATCGACTCCCTGGTGGCCATCGAAGTCCGCAACTGGTGGCGGCAGGCGCTTGCGGTGCTGCGGCTGGAGATCACGGAGATTATAGGGTCGGAGAATGTCGAAGCGCTGGGCAAGATTGCCCTCGAGCGATTGAAGGCCAAGCACAGTGCGCAGGCGAAGCAAGATGAAGAAATCGCGGACACGTGTCTTCTGATGAAGGCGCCTTAGAGTGTATAGTCACGTTTAGTCGCAGAAAACGACTCTATTCATTTGGTGGGGTTTTTCCCCCGCAAAATAGGAGCATCAACTGCATCTTTTTTGCACCTCAGTGTACCTCTCTAAATAATTTGTTCCTGAACGAGGCGGATCCATATCATTCTGTTGATCTTTCAAGGTCACTTACCATCAAGCATTTTGTCGACGTAGCGGCACATAGCGTACATGACTCGTAGTATTACCAAACCGCCCAATGACCTCCCCGCTCGTAACCATTGACGACAGCTCTCTCCGGTAGTTGCTCCGCCGGCACTGTTTTGCAGCCCATGATTCCTCAGAATGGAGAGATCAGTCGAAAAAGAATGTGATGGGAGAGCAAGCTTGTGGTCAGAAGAGCCGGAGTTGGCGGCGCACCGCTCTTCGTTATACATACCCACGTCGGCAGCCTTTTCGAGGCCTCCTGGACTGGGGCTGTGCGAGAGATGACGCTTCTGGGTGTCTCAACCCGAGGGGTTGGTGACTAGAAGGATGAGCGTGGGGTGCTGCATTACTGGGGTTAGGCGCCCGTTCCCCCTGCTTCCCCTAAAAGCGGCAGCCTAGGGCGAATCCCTGGGGAGCTCGGAATTGGGGGTAGGGATGTGATTTTACATGTAAGGCCATGTGCCTTACAGTAATTACAGTATTGTGAGGCAAAAACTGCGTGACAGCGTGTAAATCATGTAATACACTTAGTAATCCTTATGTAAGCCATATGATTGGTCAAATCCATGGTCTTGGCAATTCTCTGCGGAGAAATTTTGCCTTCTCTATTCAAATCCACCTTTTTACAGTCATCCTTTCACCATTGGGCCTTCTACCAAGCATGCCTCGTCATGGACCAAGCAATACAAGAGACCAGACGGTCTGGAATGCCTAGAAATCTCGCAAGAGTACCCCCAAGGCCCCAATGTGGCAACTACATTATTCGGAAATGGTACCTCCCAATAGGAGGATTTCAGGCCAAATATTAAGTACCTACTAGCGCCCTACTAGCGTGACCGTCAGGCTCATGTGTCTTACAGTAATTACACGTGTAATTACTGTAAAGTGTAATTACTGTAAAGTCAAAATCACATCACTAATTGGGGGCGCATTTCTAGCGCCAAGGCTGGGGGAAATGACGGCGTCACGGCAAGCTTCAACGTATATTTACTAGCCTCAGTACTCAGACTCTACATTTTTGGGGGGGGGCCGGAACATTATATTGCCGAGCCGATTCCGTCATACCCCCCCTGTAGAGTCTGAGTAGGAAACCACGGAATCGCTACATTGACCGTTATTTTGTATGGGATCCTCACCAAAATTAACCGAAATAGAAAATAAATAGTTTCTTTTATATATAACTTTTTACTAAAAACTCTAATTAAAAAATAATCTTTTATAGAATAACTATTTAAATATCGTAGAATTAGATTTTTTTTTTCAATTTTTAATAAAATAGCTTAACTAATTATTTTTAGAAGATTTAAATTAAAGTTTTAAAAACTATACTTTTAACCCCCCTCTTATTTTTTAACGTGTATCGGCAAAATTCCAAAAATAATATCAAAATACTCGTTATATTTATAAGTCTATTTAAGAATATTATTATAGAATTCTCTGGGCCAGATTTTACACATTAAGATTTATTATATTTTTACTTCAAATTTATTTATCTAAGCTATTATCTTAAATAATTTATTAAATAATTTTAAATTTTAAATTATTATTCAATAATTTATAGATATAAGTAAAGATATATAAAATTTTATTAAATTTTTTTTTTACTTTATTTAATTATTATATTATTTTAAAATTTTTAGAGAAAAAAATTAAAAAGCTTGATAACTTTAAAGACTTCGAACTTTAAATTTAGAAAATTTGTTATATTATTATTATATATATTAAGAAATTTTGTATAAATTTTTATAAAATATGATGGTTCGGTTATTAAGTAATAATATATCGAAGTTATAGATTATTAAGTTTCTTTGAAATAGTTTCGGGGTAGCTCGCTCCGGGGTAACAGCTACCCCGGAACTTACTAATGCTGATATATACCCAGGGGCAAATATCTCATATCAGCCAAACCACCAAAAAAATGAGGCTTGGCACGGTTTCCTGCTCAGACCCACTGCGTGGGGCCACTGAGACTATATATTTACATTGACGACTTAATCATTCTCAGGTGAATTGCGTTGCGTCGGTTGTAACCAATATGAAGGTTCCTCGCCGGAGACTATATGCTTTGGGTTGCCGAAGGCCATTCTCTAGCACCCCTCCGAGACGCAAGATCAAGCATCTTCTAGAGCTCCCAGATCGGATACATCCCAGCTATCACGGTTTGTCAAGCTGTACGCATTGAATACTTGATACTGTTACTCACACTCGCAGAGACAAAGGGCAACGACCTCCTATCTCTCCGGTGGCCCTCTCCGCCGAGAAATATACTGCTGGTGAAGAAAGAAAACACCTTGGCAACTACAGAAGCGGTCGTGGATTTCGCCAAGTACGCTCAGCGTTCTCGCCCTTCCCCACAAGACTCGGGCGCTGACCGCTGAGCAGACATGTTCACGCAACTTACCCCTCCATATCCTTCGTCCTCGAGCCCACAGCGGCCTACGACCTCCATACCCTCCTTCCCTTCCCCCTATACACAACACCACGGGAAGCCACCACTACCTCGAACAGCGTAAGCCTATCTTCCTTTCTCGCCCAAAAGGTCGACTTGACCGCAACTTTCGGCGGCGATGGCACTATCCTCCATGCCTCCTCCCTCTTCGCCACTACGCCCTCTGTCCCTCCTATACTCTCCTTCAGCATGGGCACTCTCGGCTTCCTCAACGAGTGGAAATTTCCAGAGCATAAGAGAGCTTTCAGAGAGCTTTATATGTCCGGTGCGCCCTCTTCTCGACATTCCATACTCTCTCCCGAACAGGACGCATCCTCGCCTGCTGTCTCCCAACATGCTGCTCATACAATTCAATCGAAAGAAGGCTGGCCACCAAACCTAGGCGCCTCCCTGGGCCCAACCCGCGCAGCCCGCGTCCTCCTCCGCAACCGCCTCCGTGTCGCAATAACATCACCCGACAGAGAAGTCATAACGCCTCCTGCCCTCCACGCCCTAAACGAAGTCATCCTCCACCGTGGCGCCTCCCCACACCTAACACACCTTACAATCTCCATATCTGGCCGCATTTTGACGTCCACATCAGCCGATGGCCTCATAATTAGCACGCCTACAGGATCAACTGCGTATTCGCTAAGTGCGGGGGGAAGTATCGTGCATCCGTTAGTCAAAGGCATAGTGATAACGCCAATATGTGCGCGGAGTCTGAGTTTCAGACCACTAGTATTACCGGCAGAGGCAGTCGTTGAAGTCACAGTCAGCGGCAGGGGAAAACAGGCTGTAGGCGTTAGTATAGACGGAAAGGATCAGGAAAAAGGGGTGGGATCTGGCATGGGATTGAGAGTTTGGGGCGAGGGCGTAGGGAGGAAAGGGGAATTGGGAGAGAAAGGGGAGGGCTGGATGGGAGGTGTGCCATGTGTGATGAGAGGCAGTGGTAGCGGAGAGGGAGCGAGTGGGGATGAAGGGTGGGTTGGGGGATTGAACGGGTTGTTGAAATTCAATTACCCCTTTGGAGAAGAGGGATGAAAAGGGACCTGAAACGTCTTTATCAGAGAAGGCAATAGTCCACTGCCTCAAATCTGCTATTGATAGTATCCTGATGCTCTTGTCGCAGATCCGCTTCCCTGCGAATCGGTATCTATCCTCCACTATCCACCCAGCACAAAACCCCCAGCAACATATCATCAACTTTCCCAGCAAAGCTCTTACTTCGCCCCACCACACCGCAAAAGGAGCTCAGACCTCAGGAGGGCAAAGGCGAAAGGGAGATACATACACCTGATGGTGTTGGACGTTATCACATTGCATGATTTACGACAAGCGTGCTATGGAGCTGACGAGAGAGAGAGAGAGAGAGAGAGAGAGAGAGAGAGAGAGAGAGAGAGAGAGAGAGAGAGAGAGAGAGAGAGGATGTGGGCGTGGAGAAGAGGGATCGAAAGGCAGATCAATACGTTCAACATCTCCACAGCCACAACAAGCAGCTCTCGAACCGGCGGCGTCATGTTGCATCGTCGCTCGGTAAGTGTCTCGCTGACCCAAGGATTTCCGTCCCAGCTATGCAGGCCAGAGTAGTAAACACACGCAGCAATGATCATACTCATATTTCGGACACGACTAGGATGAGGAATAGGATATAGCACGTATCCGTAAATTCAGTGGCTTGAGAATCAGCTTTTCGAGTAGTCTAGATGCGTAGGCCAATCATCACGCAAACTATGTGACTCGAGTGCTGAAAAAAAGTGCTGTAACCTGAGCTCCGATCATTTTCGTCCCTTCATCCATCCAGACGTGATATGCAAGCATGAATCCCTCCTGATCGCATTTTGTGAGCATGATGGAAAATATCTCGTGCTTTGAGAGCATACTAGAAAGCCTCCCGATGCTCAGGTATCATCGTGTTTAATCCATTCGCCTTCCTAGCACATGTGAAGCGTGAGCAGCATCTGGTGATGCACTGCCATGAGTCGATGCCGAGAAGCGCCACCAACTCCGGTTCAAAATTGGTCGTAGCAAACGTGTCATTGAAGCCATGATACGTGCTGCCATAGCTCGATTAGATTGTATAATAGCGTCAGTGTTTAGAAGCAGTGCGGAACTTCAGCATGTCAACCAAGCTAGCCAAGCTGCATCCTCCGCGTTTGAGGAAATCACCGGCCAAGATCTCTTGAGCAGTAGCGCGATTCTTGACCTCGACAGTCAAGCATTGGCTCAAGAAAACCTTGAGCTCACGGCTGAGCTTGTCGGGGTTTTTGAGAGTAGGCGTGCCATTGGTGGCGATCAGAAAAAGGGCTTTGAGCGGCTCTTCATTGAGGTAAGGTGGTTCGGACTCGATCATCTCGATGGCCATGATGCCTAGGGACCACATGTCGACTTTGCTGTCGTACTCCCGTTGCTTGACCACTTCGGGGGCCATCCAGTACGGTGTGCCAACCATAGTAGCGCGCTTGGATTTTTGGTCGGTGAGCTTGGCGCAGAAACCAAAATCGGCTAGAAGACAGTTGTTAGTATGAAGCGATGGGCAAGGCGTACGAAAGAACTCACTGATCTTGACATTCCCGCGGGCGTCGAGAAGAACGTTGTCAGACTTGATGTCGCGATGAATGATGTTTTGGCTGTGGAGATGGGCAAGACCTTTGCAAGTCTTGAAGCAGTCAGCAATCTCTCAAGGATACTAGGGTGGCAGCCAGCATACCTCGTTGCATATAGTGGAGATCTGTGCCTCTGTGATATGAGGGTTGTTATCGATGACATCGGTCAACGCTCCACCCTCCATGAACTCCATCACAACCCACAGCTCGTTGTTGCCCTCTTGCAGGAACGAATCTAAGAAGTTGACAATATTGGGATGTGAGCTCTCCTTCATGACGATGATTTCATTAACAATCAACTCTTTCCGTGGCTGGTTGCGAAGATCCATCTGCTTGATGGCAACCTGAGACTTGCCTCCCATGGTCTTGTACAGACGCTTAGCAACAGGTGAGATGGCATTTTCTTGAATCTTAGCAACATAGACCGATCCAGAAGCACCTTGACCGATTTTCTTCTGCTTGCTATACGAGAGCTGAGGGTCGTCCTTCGACACCACCTGCTTCAACTTCTCCATGACCTGGCTTTCGGTCATGCTCGACATGCGCACCTCCTTTTTGTGAGCAGCCGCCGGAGGTTTACCAGTCAGCGCCATCTCGGCTTGTTTGTGGGGTTCTGATGCATCTGGAGCTGGTGCTCCCATAAGCTGCTTGACATTGAGAGGCGCTACAGGTTGAACTGCTCCAGGAAGACGAGTTGGCGGTTGTGCTCGGGGGGTGCCATTAGGTTGGGCGCCGTTTGTGCGTACGTGGCCTGCTGGAGGCTGAGCAGGGTCATTGCCATTCATCTGAGGGCGTGCAGCGGGTGATGGTTGGCGTTGCTGTTCTGGCTTGCCTGGCGTGCGGAGGGAGGGATGCTGATTGGGAGGAGATTGGGAATGTGACGAAGGTGGCTTTTGGGCAAAGGGAGCTCGGGGTGCTGGTTGGGGATTCCCATTGACGCTATTCGGTGCCTGGGGAGCTTGACGCTGAGCAGTAGGTCCTCTCAACGAGCCTTGTGGTTGCTGGCGAGCCCGATCGGCACCTGGCGCGGAAGGGGGACTTCTAGTAGGATTGTATCGACTATCAGGAGAATCACTTGCTCCACCACCGTATCCGCCAATCTCTTGCTTCGCCATGGGAGTACGTGTCTTGGGAATTGCTGAATTGTAGGCTTCTTGATCACGACGGTTCTGCTCGGCCTCAGCCTTTGCGCGCTGCTCGCGCTCGCGCTGCTCTTTGGCTGCCTTGATCTTGCGAGCTTCTTCCTCCATAGCGCGACGCATTTCCTGGTCCATACCAATCTTGTTGTTCTGTTCAATTGCTCGCTCGTTGCCCGCGAAATTGCGCTGAGAATTGGGAGTACCTGTTCGTGAAGCTGGCGAATTTTCTTGAGGTGAACGCTGCAGTTGCCCATACGCTCCCATTGGATTTGATCCGCTTGGCGGCGGCGGTCTTGGTGGTGCGATTGCAGTGCCTCCTCCCCCATGGCCAAGCTGCATATTCTGTTTCGAGGTAACAGGTGGCGTGGGCATCAGGCTAGGATAAGCCTCGGGATTCTCCTGGCGCTTGGTGATATCGGAGTAGAACTCGAGAACCTCGATGACTGCTTGAGGGTGCTTTTTGTAATCTTCCTTGGTAATGGCCGAAGCGGTAAGTAAACGTTCCCATTCTGTTGGTAGCCCCACAAATGAACCGTTGACAGGGTCAAAGCCAACATGGACGCGGTGTGAGAAGTTAGTTGGGTTGCTAACACCGCCCATACCGGGGCAACGATTGTAAATGGCGTCGATCCATTCATAGATCTCATCGTCTGTCTCGAGCTGGCAAACGATCGTCTTCTGGGGAAGCTCACGAATAGCCACAGGGCTTGCGCCTGGATGTATGCCAGCATTGGCGACTCTTGTGATCTCGAAAGACAAACGAGTATTTTCGCTGCGAGAAACATTGGTAACATCTTTCAGCTGGATGCTTGTGCTGACCTTGCCATCCTGACCTTTCTGGAAGTCGAGCTGAAACGCGCGCAGAACGAGATATCTCTGCTTCCATAACAAGCCCTCTTTGCAACGAGCAGGCCCTTCCTTCAGTATAGCCACACCACCGATTCCTTCGCTGTTCATGGAGGTTGTAGAGCGGGAAAAAGAAGATGTATGAGCGAGATCGCTCATGGAACGTCCCGCCGACGATTGCGAATGCAGACTCAACTGAGACATGTTCCCAGGAATTCCGACTGTGGAAGGCATCAGGTTCAGGCGAGGACGATCAGTAGGAGGACGAGGTGCGGGCCCTGGATTCATGAATTGGCCGGCCCCATATAGACTATGGAGTCACGACATGTTAGCTGGGTAATTGGAGTCACGACAAGAAAGCTCTCGGGAGCCCAGTAGAGGAGCATGGTTGACAAGGGTGGAAGTTGCTGGAACTTACTGGGCCGCCTGAGAGGACGCCATAGCGAAGATAACTAGAACGACTGAGAGACAGTCTGTGTATGCCGACTGCTAGCCTTTTGGTAAAGGCTAGAAAGGAGAGTGTAACTAGCGAGCAATGCAATCTGCCCATTGATTAGCGGGGAGCCATGCAACCAGTGAAGAGCCAGTAACGCACAACAGACAACCCTTGAGCAACAGCGTATATCTGGTGCTTGAGGTGACAGCGGAAGGCTCAAAAGGGAGCCTACAAACGTTGCTGTCGAGTCTGGTGAACGCTTTGTCCAGTCCTCGATCAGAACCCCTTGGCCCTTTGATCCTCGAGCAGCTTAGGGTCGCTGGCGAAGCGTACCTTGGGAGGAATATTCGCAGGAACGAACGTCTTTAGCTAGACCATAGCCAAGAAAGGATACTTCGCAAGACGAGGTTTGGTGATCGTGAAAGGAAGTGAGGTCTCGAGCTTTTCGGAATGATGCGACGGGAATCTGACGCTACGCCTTACGGTAAGGCGGAATAGACAAGGAAAGTGTAGCCGGAGTGAATAGGAGACAGACACAAACAGACAATCACTATCATTGTGAGACAGGATATTGCATGAACGGCTCTTCTAGTGCCTGAGACAGTCGCTGTTGTCTACATGAGTTATGAAAACTGCACCAGACAACACCTGCAATACACATCATATACTTTGGCAATGGATACCATTGCCGGGAGTACATGTAGGCTCTCCTTCAAAAAGGCATTTTCCCATCAGTGACAATGACCACTAAACAATTCTAGAATATACTAGAATGGTATAGTGGACATGCGAGAGATACAATTTCACTTACTTGCGCCCTCCTGACCCTCTACTCTCCGATCTTCGTCCTCATAAACTCTCCAATAGCCTCCAATCCCTTCCTCGTACTCTTCACCATCTCTGGCGGGAACGCCAGAAATCCATGCGGTGCTCCAGAATAAAATTTAACCACCGCCTCCCCACCCGCCATCTGCCACCTCACTGCCATCAACACCGTATCCTCCAACAAACAATCCTCCGTCCCACACTCGAAAAGAACAGGCGGCAGCCTGTCCTCATCTCCATAGCATTTCAAATCGGCATAGAAGGGGGATACTGAAGGATGTCGGCGTTCTTCAGGCTTAGTGTTGGGGAGAAAGGCATCCACAAAGTGGGCTCGCATTTCTTTGGTTAATATGGGCTGCGGGTGGTCGAGGTGGTGCATGGGAGGGGGCATAGACAGATCGTAGGGCCCGAAACTAGGAATGAGACCGCGGAAGCGGAAATTTGAGCGAGCCTCCAGGAGATGAAGAGCGGAGAGTATGGTGAGGTGGGCACCAGCAGACTTGATGTGGTCAGTAGGATTTCGTGAGCAAGATGTGCAATAGGGCCGGTTTACTTCACCACCTGCAAACGTCAAAGGAGCGCCAAAACGGACTTCTGAACTATCGACAAGCCATTCCGCGGCATCATAGCAGTCTTCCGGACCCTCAGGAAAAGGATGCTCGGGTGCTAGTCGGTATCCAATCGAGACCACGGCAAGATCTACTACGTTGGCAAGGTATTGTGGGAAAGAGTCTTGGCTGTTGAGGTTAGTAAAGGATCTCGGACTTGTTTCACCACGAAGCACGCCTACTAATCAATGTCCATTAAGACCCATCCGCCTCCGTGGATATGCATAAAAACACCCTTCACCTGCCGGCCATGCTCGGGCATGACAAGTCGGCAGCTCAGTGCCCTCCCTTTCTCTCGCGACGGAATCAAAAACGGCTTCGCTTGGGGTAGAAGGACAGGACCAGGTAGCGCTGTCTTACTGTTCCTCATCAACTCGCGGAATTTCGGAGCACCAACCTGCAGCCGTGATTAGCAACAGCGTGAAAGATTATCATGAACAGTTCTCTCACCTCCCACCAGCGAGGTCCTTTCACAGTCATGCCTAACAACTTCTCGTTCAATTGCGTGTCTGCTTCGCTGACATGGACAGGCGATAGCTTTGAGGCGTTCAGGAAGAGATCGCTTGAGAGATGCATTCTTGCGAAAGGTACCAAAGAAAGATGTTTCGAGATGTTTATTAATGAGACCTATTGATCCGCAACTCCTGTCGCTCTTGAAACTGGAAAGGACAAGGAGTATGAGCGAAAGAAAGTGAGAAGACGTGGAAACCATACCCCCATATATATGCCTGCGTCCTAAGCCATGATATATTGATTACACGGAAGACGTCACATCGCAATGTTGGATGTACAGCGAGCTGATGGACGTTGACCCGCCGTACCCTGGTCTTGGCGGGATAGCAGAACATCCGAGTCCGAATCTGGTCTAGCGCAATCTTTCCGTCCCCGAATTACGAGGTGTCTGAGGTTTCAGTGCTAACCGTCTGCTATAGTAGAAACGACGATCTGAATCAAACACGCTTTGTCTATGGTAAAGAAAAAGCAATGAAGTAGGCTTCTGCGCATCAAATTCCACGCTGACGGAGAAGTATTCCCAGTTTTTCGCGGCGAGAGGAACTCCTGTCCAGTTCTGAATGAAGGGGAGGGAAACCGGGGTCATAGTGATAATCGAAGGGAGCAATTTGACATGAGAACGGAAAGAAACTTGGAGATCGTGGCTCTGACCCCACTGGACCTGCTTCGTTCTGAGCGTAATTATGATCGCTTAATTATCCAACCTCTTCTCGTAGGATAGCCGCAGCGAGCTCTGAACCCAATATCAACTCTCATTGGGTCAATAGTGTCTGGAAAGCAATAGTGTCTCTAAAAGTCTCGTAATGACACCATCAACGACAATTCATGGGCCATGAGTATTGCTCCGAGAAGGCGAATGCTCTGCAAGCATGCATGCATAATCGAATCAAAGGCTCTTTGTAGGATCCGAGCCTTGTGCTGCCTCGTTCATGAACAAGTCATGATTGAGACGGCCACGGCTCTGTGGTTAGACTTATTGCGAGTGAGAACGAGATTTGCTGTCCATCTGTCAAGTCTGGGCTCGACAGCTTCGGCATTGGCGTTCTTGATTGTTCATCGTGTTGCTATCAACCAGGAGTGAGATTATGGTGCTCTAAGCCTGGGAGTACCATCTTAGCCACGCATCAAATATAGCAGTCAACCAATGCCTGTCATTAGCTCTTCGCAGGCTCGGTAGGCTACCAGAAACACAGCTCAAGCTGAAGGAAACCAATGAGTACACAATGAAAGAGAGAGAGCTATGAGCAGCGAGCAGATTTAGGCGGCAGTCGCTTGGCGCCAAGCAAGTCAGCTATTTCCACCCAATCATCTCCTCACCACCAACATCAACTTCAACAGAGCAAGCTCGACCTCGAGCATTTGTCACGGTTACACGAGGAGCATGGTGATGGACTAAGACATCATTCAATTCCACACTAACGTGTATACTAATATTATAGCTAACATTGACAGACAATGAGAATGTAAAAACCAGAATCCAAAACACCTTCAGACAGCACTAAAAGCTGGAGCGACGAATTAGCTACAGACTTCGCACCATGGAACGCGAGTCCTCAGCGACCTTCGCCCTCAACATGTCCTCCTTCCTCCTCTCACTCCCGCTCATGTGCGCCGACCTCCCTCCCATCCTTGGCCCCTGCATCTGCTGATGCTTTGCGGCAAGGAGCAAAACACATTTGAAAACGCGGTCTAGTTTGGAGCAAGGTCGACGATAATGAGTCGGGAGAAGGTTGTTTGGGTGGGAGCGAAGAGACCAGGAAAGAGGGCGAGGGCACCAAAAGAGGCTAGCTAGGGCAACTATTGTGGAAAATAAACACACCCCAAATTGCTCGGCGTGGGTTAGATTTCCCTTCTATCATGGATCGTACTTCCTTTCACCTCTCAACGGTATCGTCCAGAACAGTCCCACAGAGCTAGCTGTTTCGAACATCGCCGCAGTCTTCGAGCTTTAGGGTTTTCGAGTGCACTATTTGGAGGTGGTGCGCTCTGCATACGTTGCCATCAGCCTGACACATGGTGGAGCCGCCCGTCCAGCTAGAATAGCGCGGGCAAGGGGTTTGTGCGACTCTTGACAGCTATGTGCTGCTGCTATACTTGCGAAGCGGCACTGGTATATTTCTCTATGATATAACTCTAAAGCTTCCAGGACATACTTCTTGCCAATCGGACCGTACTGGAGGATGTTCGTAATGGACATGGGTGAAAGAACATCCAGACCCGAAATCTCGACTAACTTTGCCATCCGTGGCACATTCCACCCGCAGATCATCTTGCGGCAAGACAAACGCTTCCACCGACTCGTTATCTTCTGTTCCACCTCCTCCAGACCGTTCGAAATCTTCTGGCACATTCTCGGATTCTGGGACCGATTCTCTGGGCTCAACCCCTGTCTCATGGGACGCATACTGACGCTCTAGCTTGAGTAGCCGTTCGCGGTGCTCATAGTTTTCCTCGTTCAGTGCCTTTTGGCGGGCAATGGCTCCGTCGTGAATTGCGTCGTGCGTGAGTTTGCGGTGCTCGCGTGCTTGGGCCTGGGTTCGAGCAATGTGTTCGCGTTCCTGCCCTTGGGTCTTGCCGATGCGAAGGAGCTCTCCGTTGTGAAGGGTGGCGAGGCGGAGCTTCTCTTTTATGGCGTCATCCATTGCTCTTGACTGCTGTGTGGCTTGGTATTGGGGTGGGGGGTGCGCAGTGTGCATGTAAGACTCGTCACAAGTAGCGCATCGCACGGAACCTGAGGCTTGCAGCGTTTGGTTGGTACAAAGCTGAGATGAGAGGTCTGAATCCTTGTGGGATTCATTTGAGGTAGATGAACCGCCTCTATACCAATGTTGATGAATCGGCGGTATGATATTAGAAGGACGCCTGTTTCCTTGGTCTGCAGCCTGCGTAATGGTGCCTCTACCAATGTTGATGCATCAACGAGATGGTGTTGAGTGGACGCCTGTTTCCTTGGTCTCCACCCTGTGGAACGGCGCCTTCCGGGACGGCATGTGGACTTCTGCGTAATCTGAATCTTCTGCCGTTACGACTGCGTTTGCATCAACGACCGCCTCGTCCTCTGATTCCTCACCAAAGATGGCCACAGCATCGGCGCGCTTGGACGCCTTGGGCGACGCGAGGTTGGTAGTACCTTCGAGGTAGTATTTTTTTATATAATATGCCCACTGGTAGATGGGCAGGCTGAAAAGCGTCGGACAGATCCTCATGATGCACGGACTGACGGCAGGTCTGATGTTTACTGCGACAGTCTCTTACACCAAAAAGACCCTTTATCTCCGCCTATCGCAGCCAAGACTCTGGTACTTTCACTCGGCGCATACGCTTGGTATGGTAGTGTTCCCTTTCGCTGGCTTCGCAGCTAAGACTGTCTTCAGTATGGGGACTGGTTGGTGGCGAGGTACGTCGATTGCCCTTTCGGAAACCGGACGCGAACTGGTTGGTGGCGAGGTACGTCGATTGCCCTTTCGGAAACCGGACGCGAACTGGTTGGTGGCGAGGTACGTCGGTTTGAGCGGTAGGATGCTCTTTCGGAAACCGGACGCGAGTGATAGGCTGAACCAGTGGTACAGTCTGCAACTTGACCCTACGTGTTCTGTGTCACTAGTCAGAAAGATGAGAACCAATTGTTTGAGTATTCAGCAGGATGATTACCTTTTGGCTTTCCCTCCACCACCTCGACCTGCACCTATGGCATCTCTTCCTCTGAGTTCAATTCGCCGTTGGGTGACACCTGCATTGTCCTCCAAGGTCTCCAGCTCCGCTCCAGTATTGAAGCCTTGGTCCGTAGTCCTGAGGAACGTACAGACAGGCGCCGGCATCGGTTTGAGTTCTCTCGGTCTGAGGCATATGTGGCCAGCAGAGACCATGGTGTTGGAAATTGGCCGGGAGGAAAAAGGCTAGAAGCGTCTCTGTATCCTTTTCTCCAGGATTCCGGTTGCGATCAAGATTATTCATCTGTCTAGCCACAATTGCGGGAGAGTTTCATTCTTGAATCCATCCAGGGGAGCCCACTTTCCTCTCAGCATCATATATCCTTGGTATCAGGCTCATTGCTCTTTCCGGACCGCCCGCTGCCCAACAACGCACGCAGCTTCCCATCCATCACGTTACGCAGCTCCATCAAGCCCATGATCGTTCCGTCCTTGCTCGCCCTCGCTGGTCCTAGCGGCTGGCAGACGCAGTAAGCGTGATCGGTGCAAACGAGGTAGTCACGCATGTGCACGACGGTACCAGTGCCATCGTCGACTTTGAACCTCGTTGGGTCACAGATGGGATCTTGTATTGTGAGGCCGGTCTTGGGGTAGGTGATGAGCGTCGTGAGGCTATGGTGCATCTATTCCATACAGCGACTCGGTTGGTTGAAGACCTGTCGAAGGGAATTCAGGACATGAAACATTTGCGTTCGCTGAGGTCGATTTTCCATTTAGGAGTCCCAGGGGAAGCTGGAAACTGTTCTTCGGCTTTGATTGAAGAAACAGTGAAAGGCTTGAGGAGAGCATCGATCGAGACCGATGGCGAAGCGGGTGGTGAATAACTGGGCGAGCCCGGGTACTGGAGTTCGGTCTTCGACTCGCGCTCTGGCTCATTTCTGGGAGACGTTGAGTTCTTGTGCGAGCCGGAACCGTATCCAGCAACATCTCCCAGATTGTGTCCGTATCGAAGTTGTTGTGAGCCTTGCGACGCTCAACCCAAGCCTTCAACTCTCCGACGACGTCTTCTTTGCTGCCTCGATAGAGATGCTGAGGGTTTTGGTAGGAGCGCACCTACGCTATATATTTGTAGTATAGAAAGTTGTGACTGCTTGACGGGTGTTGAGGAATCTCCGCGACATCGGCTTTTTTGCTGTGGTTGCGTTGAGTGGTATGATTAGAATTCTGAGACGGGAGGGTAGGTAAGGACGAAGATGGAGTCGCTGGCGGCACCTCCGAGTTGGTAGGCGTCCGGTTTCTCACAAACAGGCTGGGACATTGTAAAGGGACAGCTAGTAGAGACGCGCAACCATTACAATAGTGATCATTGTATCTACCGGCACGTCTTTTCGCCCTCTGGGATACTGGTAGCCACATTGGAGATCGTCTGCTCGGACAGTACCAGATCTCCGGAGTCGATGTCTCGGTTGGCTCGGAGCTCAATGTACGGCTTGGGACCTTCGACCGGTGTATCCACTGTTTCCTCTGGTTCAATGACCAAAGCTGAACAACTGCCGCTGCAAGTCTCCACCCAAGCCTGGATTTGCTTTTGACAATGTTCGATTGTCTTCTTGGCCATGATCCATTCGACCTCGCAAAGGGTCCGAGCACTCTTCTTCGCAATGGTCTCTTGGGCTACGTAAGTCAGGAAGTCTTCGCCCTTTTGCTCGTCATTGAAGCGCGATATACGCCGAGGAGGGTATGGTATGGCAGCCATTTCGATGGCAATCGGCCGGTTGTGTCTCGCCTCTTCGGCTAGGTCGAGAGAAGGGGCCCCTAACATGCAGATCTTGAAAACCGAGGGTAATGTATATGAAGACCGCATTTGTCCTTGATCTCGTGCCTGTTGGATGTCGTCTGCTGTTGGTTGCGGACCACCTTCACTGGAGGCTCACCCAAAATGCTGCGTGTCACGTCCAGAGCCCAAGCCCGGGAACGCTTCAACGAACGGCCATCTTCCGTCTCGTGCTCGACAGGACTAGTGCACGTTAGTCGCGGTCCAGTATCGCATTTTCCCTTGAGCATATCTCTAACATGACTGCGCAAGGAGGCTCTTACCAAGGGCACGAAAGTTGAACGGCGACTCTCTGTAGTCGGCGGTGACGACGGCCAAAAACGCACCGGTCGATCATCGACTGCATTCGTAGTCAGCTCGCCATATGAACATCTAACACAAGGGGTTCATACCGAAGGGAAGTCGCGATATGTATTTTTATAACGGATGCCTGTTAACGTCTAGCCCAAGACGGCGGTCAAAAGTCTGGATCGCTTCAACTGGTCTTTAGTCAGCAGGACTTGATCGCGGGATCTACGGTCATCACGGTGGGGCTCAGTGGAGTGGAAACGAGTGAAAGCTCAAGAATATTCTGTCTCTTGGTTATATACTTCAGTATGCGTCCACGACGATGCTTACAACAAACCCATTGCCTCATCCACACGGCCAACTGTCTCTCATCACCATCGGAGAATATACAACGCAGTCCACTTCAGTCCTCATCAGCATTTGTTCACGATCGACGAAATCGAGTCTCAGCTTTGCATCCCTTCATTTTGAAGTCGGTTTCGATGCGTGTAACGGATGCAGCTTATCAGGAACTTGAACTGCTCTTCGTTGCTTGCGGGAGCCATCTTCAACCACGAGCAACTCTGCGCCCAGGTAGATCCCGCCATAGTACATGAGACATGTTGGCTGTCCGACAGAGAGGCTGAGGCTGTAGGACCGGGACAGAGTTCTTCGGATTTAGAGACTAGAGCCTGTGGCAAGCTTAAAACGGGCGATTTCGGTCCAGATACCATAGTTGCTCTCTGTCTGAAAAGGAGGTTTGGAGGTGGTTTCTGTTCTCTCCATCGGCCTATGCCCGTTGTCCGTACCATTTTCATGATCATGCAAAGGCGTCGCGGCCCCTGTCTGCGAATACCAATCTTCATGCTTGGTTCAGAGAACAGCCGTTCCCCAGAGATGCTAGCAACGAAAATTGGCATCACACACGGTCGGTTCAGCGAAACCGGTGATCAGATGGTTGAGGGAGGCAGGAAGTACCCTGACATCTTTGGGATCCGGAGCAGGTCTAAGCAACTGCTGCCTCGATACTCGCGGAACGGTGGAGTGGCTGTTTGCTCTGTCTCGTGGGTGACGGTGATGGGGCCTACAGTCTGCTGGATTTTGGAGTCGCTCCGTAAGCAGTATGTTCCTCCGTTTGGAACCAATGACAAATGAAATGAAGGCTGAGAGGATGGAGGGGACCATGTATCCAGCGAAGAACATCCATTGAGACCCCAGCCACTAACCCCTTCGTTTGGTAGATTATCCTTGTTGCTTTGCTTTGTATCGTTCGAAAGGATAATGCGGGTGGCAGAGGCAAGGTTTCTACAGGCATCAGCGTCCTCTGTACGGTTGTTTAGAAGTGTCCAAGTACTCACCAGTGGGTATTGCCTCAGATTAAGGCCCAGGGATCCGGCCGAGGGTTGAGCAACGCCTCCCTCATGGCGTAACCATGGTCGATGCCATTGGCATCGCGATAGTCCCGGACAGGCGGTGCCTCCGGCAGATGATTGGATGTTTGCTCTTCTTGGCCGACGGTGGTGGCTCGAAAACCATGGTCCATTGGATTGTCAACCCTTCCTGCATGCTCGACATCGGTATTGGGGCTGGGTGGGGTGAGGATTTTGTTATCAGTGTCATCATTGTCACTGTCGTTGTTGTCAGTGTTGTCCGTTTCACCGCCAGCAATCGTGCCGATCTGGACCGCTCTATGCGCGACGTTAGCAGATAAATCGGTACGATGAATATCCAACAGGCTGAACGCTGGTTGTCGAAGACGATGTGGTAGCGATCTTGGAAGCGAATGGGATCGAATGCCTCCAAGCTCAACCCCGGATATCTTCCGGCCGTACCTCGTCGACTGGTCCCATTGAATTACCGATATATGGGACCGATGCTCCAACACCGAACGCTTGGCCCCATCCTTGGCTACCATGCAACAGCCCTCGCCTTGAACCCTGCTCGATCCTCCATGCGTTTCATGAGATCGAATATTTTTATATAAAGGGAAGGGTTGGCGCTTTCCATTTTCCCGCATGCTAATTTTGTCAATTTTTGTTGCTGCATGCAGCCCTTTCTCAGTTTTCGTGCTCTTTACTTCCTTTCGCATAAGCAATTCCTTGATGCCATGTGCTCAGCTCTCATCTTGAAACATTCATTCCTTGGGGCTATCCTTGGTAGCATGAATCTGACAGTAGGGTCTAGTCTCTTGCGTAAGGCGACTCTAGCTAATTTCTCACTTTTGCAGTTGAGGTTGACTCGGGGACACGCTCGACGTTGACCTGGGGGCTTGCCATGAGGGCATATTTGAGAATGGCCGTGCAGGATTCAAGCTAGAGCCCGGCTCACTGTTCATCGGACATGACCACACGATCAATGATCTCAATGCCCGCGGGGCCTTCAAGTCTGCCAGCAGGACCTTGATGTTGTTTAAGTATGTCTCTTCGAATCTGGATAGCCTGGGACAAGACCTAGCGGGCTAAGAGACTGCGAAGCCGCTTCGTCGGCGTGAGCAGCTTCCAAGTCTAGCTTGAACCTCTGAGCAATGAGTCTTTTCTCATTAGTAGCTTTCGAAGGTTCATCGCCATTGGGGGTTTTTGAGGGCAAATACGGTGTTGGTGAGTGAGCGTTCTTCCGTATCGGAGAATATTTTGAGGAAGAGTCATTGTTCTGTGGGATGTGTTGCGAAAGTCGACCTTGTCGACTTTCCACAGCTCGAGATAAATGGCTTTGTCGAAGATGAGAAGGAGGCTGCTGAGTCTCTTTGTGTAGATGGCTGACTTCGATATAGGTTTGTAGGACTGCCCTTTCTGCTTAGCACACTTACCATTTTGGCTGATCATTCATGACTGCGAGACGATAATCGATTCAAGGGCCGTAGTGTTCACATGTGAAGGCTGTTGATGTTGCAGTCGTACTGACGCACGAGGATTAATTACAAGTTGTTGTTCGAATGCCGAGCGCTGGCCACAATGCTGTTGTGGAGACAGTCTGGCGTTCCTGGCCCTTGTAACTTGCTGAGCGTTTGAGAGGCAAGGCATACAAGTACCCTGGCATGAGGATTGCGAACATCTTGATTCGCGTATGACCTTCGCGAGGAAGGCTGACGCGATGACTGCTGACCATACATCCAAGAACTCGTGGCGGCTTAGTAGACCGCAGCAGGGCCCTCTTGCGGCCGCAGATTCCAATGACGACACCAACGAGTCTGGCTAGCTCCACAGACGGGTTGTTTTCCATTCGCGCTCTTGCATGATGTCAACTTCCCTTCCTTGCGATGGAATAATTTTCTCGTGGCCGGGCATAGGTGCCGTGACCAGGTTGCCCTTGCTCTCTTCCGTCGTCCGAGTCTTCGTTCTCCTCGCTGCAGGATAGGGGGTATATATTTAGCACGCAGTATAGTTGCAATGCTAGGCTGATTATGGATACGCTGTCGAGATAATCATGTGTTCGTCCGTGGTCAACTGCCTTGGCTTTGGCGGCGCTCACAATGATAGCTGATCGATCGCGCGAAGGCAGAGCTGTGTTGAGCAGACCCTTACGGTGAATTTCCTATAAGTGATTTTCCAACAGTGCGAGCGTCTGGCAGATTCGTAGCTAGCATCGTCTATCAGCGTCCATCAATGAGAAGATGTTCTTGCAACGATCCACCGGGACTGTACTTACGAGGCATCAGTTATCAGGGCTGCTTCGTCAGAAAACCTCATGAGATCCTCCTCATCCTACACATCCCCTGGCGCGGCTGGAAGGACGATCGCTGAGCCGGAAGCGGGCTGTATCTGCGGCTCGAGGGCAGTGGGGCTCCTCTGCATGGCGATGTCTTGGACGAAAAATGGAGATCCTCCACTATTCTCGCTGCGGCTATAGGAGTGTGGTTTGGATGATAGGATGCCGTCAAGCCACGCCCTGCTTTAATTTCGTTTTGCCAGGATTTGCCCATCAGGCATGCACAATTCTGTGACATTGATCTGCCGGGAACTGCCGAGGGATGATTCTATTCATTGTCTCGCGAGGGTGATCTGCTGCTGTGCATGAGAGGTCACGAGGATCGAGACGGAATCATGTGGCTGCGTCTAGAAGACGTTAGTCAAAGGGTTTTTTGCGGAGGCCTGGCTTTGATTGCCATTACCTTGGATGCACGACGAGCCTATCAGTCAATACGCCAGTATCGAAGGTTGAACGCGTTTCCTGTCGTGGGAGCGATCTCCGCTGGATTTGACCAGCTCTAATGCCAGTTGTTGCGGCTTTGAGCATGCCTCCTGCGCCTTTGAGGCATATATATTTGTATTGGGATAAGAGCCTTGTGCCACTCTATGAGCACGACTCCCTCAAATCAAAAGGCTAAAAAGAAGGTAGAAAGAAGATATTGACCGGGCTTTGAAAAGATTCCCCTAAGACGAAATAATTGGGCGTGATGTAGCTGAGGCCGAAAGTTCGACGCCGTTTCTCTATGAGGTTAGGTCCAAGAATCTGAGAGGTAACGTGAAGGTGCTAGAAGTACCATTGCTTGAGACCTGTTCGGGAAGAGTGGCTAACAGCTCATACTTGGTGGCAGGATGTGTTCGAGATATTATAATGCCTTCCCAGGCAGAGGAGTTTCCGTCCGCTCATACTTGCTGGCAGGATGTGTTCGAGATATTATAATGCCTTCCCAGGCAGAGGATTTTTCGTCCTACATGTTCGTTTCAGTTAGCAGTTTGACTTGAACGGATCCTTTGGCACATCTGTATCGAGTGTGCGCACACCAAACCGCGGAATGATGTCTCATTCCTATTGCACAGCTCAAGCTAAGAAAACCCAAGAATCGGCAATGCGGAAATGCGATGATGGAGCTTGGAACTAGCTTACCTCCAAACAATGTCGCAACGCTAGCGGACCAGCAAACCATCGCTGGGAAAACCTCAGAGTTTCGATTGTCTCATAGGAAATCTTCGTAACGAAAACCTGCTCGCTGGAAGATGTTACTATCAAACACTGTGAACACTGGGAAGAACAATGGTAAAACTTACAGGACAAGATTTTGAAGAGTACTCGTACGTTCCTCTCGCTTACCTCCATCTTCGAAAAAAGTAGGATCACTGAGCTCTGGGCAATCGAGAGCAGGGATGGCTTTCGACTGTCAACAGGACGCCTGGAAAGCTTCGAGGTAGGGGAGTGTTGGATCATGTCGCAATCATATTCTGGCTCTTCTTCCCTGTGCAGTCATAGTCGCTGGCGAAGACTTGCGGGATTTGTTGAGAAGAAGGAGCCTTTCAACGTCTCGGATGCTCAGGACGACAGGCTCTGAAGACTGTTAGTTTCACCTGTGTATTGTCAGCAGAACCAGTGCGATCAGACGCGCGTCCATCGATTGAGCACATCAGCAAGAGCGATCATTTTCGTTTGAGACACTGTTTCTCCTAAGAAATGTTATATACACTCAGCCACCTTCTGGTGCCTCAAGATCGATCTTCACCGCCAATCTAGAGCCGGGGAAAACCTAGACGCTCGATGTCAAAACCACTCCCACCAGCAACTCCAATAGTCCATCGGTGCCATCGTGGATCTGGAGTCCAAGATTGGCTGTCCGAGTCCTTATCACGACGGTCAAAGTTAGGATCTGCTCCACCCGCAGTGAACGAACGAGATCGATCATATTCGCCACTTTGCTGGTTTTGAAAGCCGACGTGCGACCAGAAAGAGTTGGTGCCAATGCCAGTGTACTGTGTATGCAAATCGGTATGCGGCAGGAAAGGGTCGTTGATGGTGACCGCACCAGGATATACAGAGGATCAAGTGTGATGGAAAATGCGTCTGTCGATGTTCCATGATGGCCCAAAGCCTGCTCTCTGATTGTAAGAATTTGGCGCCGAAACCCTTCTGTGGATCATCAGGGCTGGCTTGTTGTGAGTCGGGTTGGTTGGCAGCATTGAGATTCTGCGAGTATGGATGGTTCGACTCCATTCTGATTCTGGTGAGTAGGCCTGGGTTGGTAATTGTTTGCTGGTAAGTGCGACAATGGAGGCTGCAGGTGGATGTGGATCTTCCGGAGTATACAGAGGTTGATGAGAGACACAGTCTCCGTGTTGAGGTTCATGAGAGCTCTGGATGCCATGGTACTGTGAGTCTGGATACTCGTATGTTCCAGTCTTTGGCGTTGGCGAGAACCCAAAGCCTGCTTGTTGACGGAAAAAGCCAATCATACGACCGTTGCTAGCAGCCCGGCATCCTTCTTTGACGATGCCATGTCTGGCAGCGGCTCGATGAGATACTCAGCCGATGCAGAGAAAAAGGTTCCTGTCCAGACTCCTCTCCGGGCATCCTCAGAGTAACCATTCTGTCTGGCACTTGGGCAACCACGCCTGCACGCTTTCTTAATGTAAGCAAGAAATTAGGGTCGTCAGTCTATTGCTTACGTGCACGCCATGGAGGCCGACCTCTCTCCCGGGCACCAACCGTCTCTCCCCAACCCACCCCTCGGCCCCTTCGATCAGTAGTCCTTCGACTACCACCGTTGTCGTTCTCAAAGTTCCTGAGAACGACTCGCCATTGAATTCAGGCTTGAGCTTGGGCGTGGCGCGACGCGAGTCGCGGTCGTGGGTGTCTTTGATGGACCTGTTGTCCACCAGTGCGGCCATGACGGAGCTGGATGGGTATCAGCAAACGTTCGACTTTTGACAGGGAGAAGACCACCAGTTACCGTAATATTTTTATATAAGCACGAGCAGGAAGCCCGTAAAGAGCCATCCTGACGAGGATTGGCGAAAGAGAGGTTCAATTTGTTGAAGTCGTTGTCGGGTATAGCTCAGAGTTTGTGTCAAGTCTTTGCCGTCTGCTGCATCTTTTTCGCATAAAGAGACATTTTGAGATCCTGCATTGTCTACCCGCAAACATTCTTCGTCAGGACCCCTATCGTGAAGATTGCCGGGCGCAGTCTCAGATCGACATAATCATTGACAGGTAATGTCCTAATGGACACTATGTGAGTATCGATCATTGCCAACCTTGCTGGTTCATGTGTAAACTTACCATCACTGCGATGTGAGCATCGAAAGATTGCTGTGCACCGTGGGCTTTTGGAAGGAACTCCTTCTCTTGTGTCCTGGACGCCACGTCTTCAATTGTCACAGGGCTATTGCGAGCCTTCTAGACTCGATCCCCGTTCTTCTGCCTAGTCTTCTGTCTAGTCTTCTGTCCAGAGATTTGTGCGGCACATCTGCCCTTAGGTTGGATCTTATGATCGAAGATCTTAAATCTGGCACGGGTGCCATTCGAGACTTCCTGCAGACCCCGAAGGCTTCGCCTTATCTGAGTAAGGCTATCAAGACGCGTTAGCAGCCCTGTATAGTATCTTCGTGGCGTTTTTTGAACTGACCGACTCTGAAAGGAGTGGGTATTCTTAAAGTCACTCCCACGCGCGTGAAATTTTAGTAAAGCTAAAATTTGAAGTCAGCGGCGGTAGATATAATCAAGACACACACTTTTATCGATAGGCAGAAGTTTTACGTACCTGGGCGGAGTCTCTGCCAGTGTTCTTGATCTTCCGCACACAACTGAGAAGGGGCCTTTTCCGAGAATTCCTCGGCCTGTGTAATGGCCCTTTCTTAGCTCGCGTCCGAGTACGTCACTAAGGAACCGGATGCTTACGTCCAAGGCCATCTCCTTCGAGCCATACTTCTGCTCGAGAGATGGATCTGTTGGCGGCTGCGACGGTTTAGAGTTAGACGAGGGGGAAAGATCCCGAGAAGTCTGATAGCTGGTCTTGCGTACAGTGATATCAGGTTTACCATTCTCGACGAGATATCCTCCGTCGGCGGCAGCTACAGCAATGATGAGCATAAGAAGTAACTAGCAGATCGGGAAGGAATTTACCACTCCAAGCTTTAGCCTTGGCCGCCTGTTCTCCGGTGATCTCGCGCTTGCGAGGCGCGGAGATATATATATAATCTCCTTAATGGAGGTCGTCTTGGGTCCGTGGCTGCAGCGTGGAGTCGCATGGCAATCAGTCTTCCGATGTCCTGTACCTCTTTGTCTGAGGATGAAGCGTGGAGTGGTGGTCTTAATCTGTCCTCAAGAGATGGATCCGCAGGTTCAGACCATATCGTGCGCTTTCTTGCCCAGTTTTCCTGCTGAGCCATAGCTAGCCATGGATTCTTCCTCTAGATCGGTATCTTCACGGACACGCTTCTTCGCTGAAAGTAAGCCTGCAAAGGGACCAGAGGAGAGTGTGGTTACGGCGACATGAGTGTCCGTCTTAGTATTCTTGTCCTGCGTAACGAACAGACTTTCCGGTGATTGATCCCGTTCACGCTTAATCTCCAAGCGGCTCTCTTCTTCTTCTAAGTAACACAAAGGGCATCAGACCGAAGAAATCTAAATCAGCAACGAAGCTATGCTTACCCTTATCCTTCTTAGCCCAGGCGATACCCTGCCTAATACCTTCAACGGTAGCTTTGCGAAGGACTTCGGCCAAGTCAGGCAGGTCCGGTGCCGGTGGAAGAGGACGCATGGCTGTGAGAAGTCAGTTCGTTTCGGTTTTGCTTACCTCAGCACTGTTGTTGAACTGGTCTCTTTACCAACGAAAATTGTACTTCTAACAGGCGGCACTGGTTAGCTACCTTATGATTGATTAGGTTCATGGGAAGATACTTACACGCCCAAGTCGTATATATATTTTTAGTGCCACGTACTTGTTGGCAAGAGGAAGAGAAAAAGATTAAAGAGATGATGGCAAGAGGTCAATGTCAATGGTGGAGCTGGAGACACCGAATTAGTGTTTGCATTTTTGCAAGGGAGCCGCCTGACTTCAACATACCTGATGGTCTTTGCACATATCACGAGCCTTTATAACGTCACTGCTCAGGACGAACGAGTTCACTGGTTGAGCTCGGAATCAGAACCTGCTATATCAGTCAGAGCAGTCTATCTCGAGTTAGCACGCCTGCTTCTTCGCAAGGGCTCCATCATTGAAAAAAGGAGATTCCAATGGTTTGATGGAATACGCCAGAGTCGTATATACAACAGAATGCCGTCCACTGCCTTCGGTCCTCATTTTCCGGGTTATCGGTCAACGAACAACCTGACGCCAACCCTGTTCAAAGATAGTCAGTCACATGCGCACAAGAGCAAGTTCATGGAGAACAGCAGTGCAAGGTGTCTGAAGGTTGTCGGCACGTACCAATAGCAACCACACTTTGGCCTCGGCTTCCATCGGTCGCCCACTCTCTCACCCAATCCATTACATCCCCACTTCTCCATCTCGTCCTCCCAGAGCGGAAGACACGGACGACACAAGTGAAGATTGGCAAGCTCCTGGTTTTTTCTCGTCACGGAAATGATATCCCACGTGTTACGGAAGGATCTGTCAACTCCCGAGTGGGCTTGAACCATGATTTGATCGAAATCACTGGGACCTATGCAAGGCCATGTGTTGCCAGTTGAATGACCGGTTGTTCCCATCATGGGGGACGAGCGTGCGTCAAGTGCTTCGATCTGTGAAAGAACAGTAGCCACTATTAGCTCTGTATGGTAATACTGAGGAAGGCTTGCCCACCGTAGCACTGAAGGCGGTTGTAATGCCACCCCTGCCAGTCTTCGTCCACGTGTCGCCGACCTGAATCGCTTCCTTTCTACACAACTCCTCCAGTTTCTTGCTGCTGCGAGGAATGTTGACTGGTTGGACGTGGGTAATATATTTATGTAAGTCTTGTTTGAGGGATGTGATAACTCTGCTGTATGGTCCGCCTCGGGGTTTCTCTGCTGCCGAGCAATGTGAGGGACGTTGTCAGGCTTAAGGTCATGGTGGGTGATTCCACGTTGGTGTAGGTAGTCAATGGCTTGCAGGATCTGCCGAGCGACATGCATGGACATGTACTCGGGCATTGGAGCTCCAGCTCTCATCATGGCCGCTGCCATGAGCCGAGATCTCATCCCCCTCCGCCAAGATCGACGCGATGAATCCACCTAAAGTTCGGAACTCAGGAATAGGATCTTTCATCGAGCAAGAAAGGGTCTCAAAGCTACTGACATATCTCATGTCAATCGGGCCAACGTACTCCAAAGCCTTTCGAATCTTCTTGGCCGTCTATGCTTCGCTGATGGAATTCTTGATGGTGCGAGCTAGAAGTTTTCACCAGCTTGGTAAGTCTGAGGTCATGGATGCGAGACGGGCAGAAGGATGGGGTAGACTTACTGACCTTGTGGAGAAGTAACCCAACATCCCCATCTTGCAATATGTATATATATACCCAAGACTGACTTAGGCATATGTTCTCGCACGCACTATCGTCTCCCAAGTGTTGCGGCTCGTCATCTTGTGCCAACTTGACCTTTGACTGTTTTCTTGGTCGGCCAGCATTGGTTGTTCGCGAGTTGACATCCAAGCCTTGCTCTGCTGCTTGAGGAATGGCGTTGATGCGTTGCCGGACATGAGATCGATGAACGCTTTTTAGGGATTCGTGGCGATTTTGGAAGTTGCACAGTTGATGTCCTGTAGCCACCCAAGGTTGGTTGGAATATGGGTTGGCCGTGTGCCTATGGCAGACTTTTCGATGAAGAAGGAGTAGGAAAGGCAGCAGGGTTTTTTATACCCTTCGACGAGGTCGCGATAAACTTGTGCGTTCTTAGACTGAGGGAGTGCAGGTTTCTCTCCAGGAACTTAGTGCGACGAGTCAAACCGTTTCCAGGACAGCTCTTGGTAGTTAATACCAAGAGTCAAGTGCAACAGAAGAAAGTTTTCGCCGTTTGAGTCCATGTGTATTTAGAAGGTATGCTTTGAGAAAGTGTCTGTGTTCAAGGTCAGTGAGTGAACTTGGTCAACAACGAATCACTTACTTGGTGCCTTGGGTTCGACCACGTTCCACACTGTCGCTGCAGAAGACATGGCTGATATAACGGAAGGAGCCTCGATAGCATCGATCAAGTCGCAGAACAGAGCCGGTTAAAGTTCTGTAAGCTCAGAGCACTGACTGCTAGCTAGCTGTGACAAAGTTGGGCTGCCGCGAGAGGAAGGTAGAGTGCTGTTGGAAGCAGTGGTGGGAGTGTTGGCTTCTGATGTGAAAAGATCACCATCGTCCACTCCACTGGTAAGCACGATCACTATTTGTGTTTAGCACTTAGCTTATACAGTAGGACAGGCAGTGCTACGAACCTTGAAGCTGTTGAGCTTGAATGCCATGGAGTAGGAAGCATGGCTTTGGGTGATCGTCGTGGCAGTTGAGGTCCTTGTCGTCGATGTGTCGGAGGTCAGTGCCTTGGTCGTAGTCAAGCTCAGCTAGAGACCTCGGCAGGTGAGCTCGCTGATGTCCTGAAGCTGTTCGCAGAGGACGGTGAAACGTTGCGAATACTTACTGTGGAAGAGAGGATGTCGCCATCTAGACACTTGGTCTGGTGCCACAGTAGGCTACCTCCTTGCCTTCAAGGAAGTGAGCCACCCTGAGCATGTGGAAGAGATGCTGAACGAGTACTAAGTAGGGTTGTGTTGCAGGTGGTAGTCTTACATCGATGAAGAGAACTCACTGTGCTCCATAGTGTTGTGTGCGTAACATGGAGTTCAGGCCTGCTGGTAAACAGCTAGACATGTTCGAATGTCCAAGACGATGATGAGAAGCTTTGCTGTACCTCCTGCAAGAAGATTAAAAGGACTAGATGTTGTTCGACTGAAGGATGATGAGGAGTGTGGAGTTTTTAAGTGTGGTGGAGGAAGAAGTGGAAGAAAAGGGACCCGGTGAACCTCGCTAAATTAGTTTGTGTCATTCATCGACCAATCGTGCCCCCGTCCTAACCCCCATGGCCCTCAAGTGAGGTGAAGAATCACTCGCAGCACTGACTGCAGGTCATGCAGAGGTCACTATTGCGATCTGCAACGTGGGACGTATTCCCTTTGTCTAGAGGAAGGATTGATTGGTCTTCCAATCGCCGGATTCGGTATAGACCAAAATATGGTCAAAGGGATGCGAGCGAGGCTTTCTTTGACACCTCACGAACCGGTGAAGAACAGTGTCTATGGTGGGCTGTCGATTCACCCTTCTAATTATCTGATTGGTCTCCTAGGTGGCGTAGGCTCAAGGCATGACCGTCATTGCTGTTGATGCCATCATTCCATATGTGAAGACGACCCTTCACAGCCTGCTACGGCTTCATTACCTTTCCTCTATCAGCGTAGGGGCTCTCTCATTCGCCAGAAGCATGGGATCTGCCCTCCTTCCGTGGGTGAAGATGACCCTTGACAGCCTGCTACGCCCTCATTCCCTTTCCTCTATCAGCGTAGGGGCTCTCTCATTCGCCAGAAGCATGGGATCTGCCCTAGTTCCATGCGTGAAGATGGCTCTTGACGGCCTAGTACGGCTTCATTCCCTTTCCTCTATCAGCGCAGGAGCTCTTTCACTCGCCAGAAGCAAAGGGTCATGTGGCTGTGGAGCTAAGTTGAGTTAGCTTCTATGATTCATCGAACAGAAAGCTCTAGAGCGATTCGTTGCTTCCTCCTTCTACCCTGCCCCTCAATCTACTAGACCGCGTAGTCGCGCAGCAGGGGTCGAAGTGATGTTGGAAGCTTCTTTCTGATCCTGTGAAGAGCGAGTTCAACAGCTAAGGATCGCTTCACTAGTATAAGCACCAGGGAGGCAGCTGAGGACCTGCATAGTAAAGGCGAAATGTAGAGAGTCGGTGGCTTAGAAAGTTCCTTTCGACTTTAGTAAACAGCGGTCTCGAGACTCAAATACTGCTTCTTTTGTCGACGAAGGCGGCTGAGGACTCGATAGCCACAGACTCGATGCGAGAGACGTATTGTTTTCGAAGGTTCCCGTGGATATTGTCAGTGGTAGCGCCGAGAAGGGATCGCCAAGTCATCCTCCTGCGCAGTTGGCAGGAAATGCGGTGATCATTCATTTCAAGCCAATGTTTGAGAGCCCCCCATTGGTTCGGTGGCGCCGTGTGCCTAGGGTTGTTGCTCCGTCTTTTCGCCCACTTGGACTGACACCGTGCTGGTGAGGGCTGGGTACTTAGGCCAGGGCATGATCGAAAAAGAATTTTTCCAAGCTTTTCTCCACCTGTTAGAAGTGAGTGGGTTGGTACCCTTGCATCTCCCCATACCTAGCTAATTGAGACATGGTGCCGGTCTAGATCAGAGTGCTTCAGCAGTGCAATGATCCGCAGTCAAAAAGGGGAGACAGACATGTACTTTGCTGCAAAACATGAAATACCAGGGCAGAACTATAGCAATTACCTCTCGAGCATCCTTCCTAGAGACGACAGCGCCCTCCCGGCAGCCCGGGCACAGCGATGCCGGTTCTTCGCAGATATGCAAATCCCTCTTCATCTGCGCTCTATCAACTCGAAACTTGTCGCTATTCGCCCATCCGTCTCCTCTCCCAATGATCCACACCTCTGCATGCAATACTGGACGCTAGAAGAGAGGGACTCTGGATATGAGAGAGGCAACACCACTAGGCAGCTGTACCAAAAGAGAAAAGTACTGGACATCAAGGGTTTAACTCCATGCTCGAGTGCTTG